AAATCTGCATACCAGAATTTCACAACACAAAATACAATGAAGACTTGGTAAGGGTCTTCTACACCGGCCTTCAAGGAAATTTTGAACATTTTGAGTTCAAAACAAAAGTCGGAACTACAAAGGTATGTGTTAACGACTCCATTTGGAAAACGTCGTTTAATATGTCTCCTGTATCCACTGAGCCTATCATTAAGGCCACAGACACTAACATTGTCATTGGCTACGAGTTCAAAGAGGTTTTGAACTTAATGCTGAAGAATGGCAACATACTGGTTGGACATCGTTGGGCGACAATTATAGGCCTCAACATTATTCGGAGTATCAAGAAACTCCGAACTGGAGCTATGAGCCTCCACTATTCACGAATCTTCCCCAACAAAACTATGATGAACTCCTCGAGATGATAAGGACTATGCAACTAGAACAACGTTCCTTCATGAGTGTTCAGGATGAGCGTATCTCACAACTCCAAAGTCAATTTGAGACTCATACTGAAAATTTCAACGCGTTTTCCTCCGGTGTCATGCGACGGTTCGATGGTTTTGTTGAAACAGCCGCCAATCACCACAGGGCTCTTGCCACCCGCTTCAATACCCTAAATAGAGCGGTCTTGGAGTTCACCGAAAGAGCCAATGCCCAATTACCTCCAGAGTATCCCTCTCGAGGGAGAGGCCACCATTTCAGAGGGAGGAGACCTTGAAGTTGATGTGCATATTGCATCTTGCATCTCATTAGTCTGTTTTAACTGTTGCTATGTATTAATGCACTTCTGCATTGTTTTTTAATTGTTGCATCTAAATGTCATGGATTATGAACTTATGTGTGGTTAATGTTTTAATAACCTAGAAATCTTCATCATTTTATCTGTGCGTAGCTCTATTTATCATTTCATTTTGTTATATGTTCATTAACTACATTATATGTGGATGTATGTTAATGTATAGCCTGTTGCGAGTGTTTTAAGATGTGCATCTGTTGTTACTTTTATACCATTCATTGACAGGTGTTTCTTTATTTTTGATGTTGTCAAAGGGGGAGAAAGTGCCAAGCATTGCAGTAGAACCAATTGCAGTAGAACCAGAAAGACCAAAGGTGAAGACTTAGCATTAACACAAAAAGTGTGTAGGGATGAAGGCATCAAGCAAGGGGGAGGATAATGTCACATATCATACAGTAAGGTTCTATGTGTTTTGCCATCATCAAAAAGGGGGAGTATGTGAGGGAAAAGCCTCATATATAGATGTGCCTGTTTCGATGATGTCAAAACTCAGCTCCATAGAAGAATATATGTTGGATGTTATCACCATGTTGCATGTGCATGTCTTGTGTCACATATATGTTCAAATGCTCGTATAAAATATCACGGTTGTTGCATATAGATGTCATAAATGTGTGTCATGTAAGTTTTACTTAGTGTCGTGTGACATATCATAAATTTCATCAAGAGTGTCGTGTGACATATCATATCTTTGAAGTGAATGACCTAAAACTAGGTTTCCAAAATTGCCCTTGACTTGGGAAGACCATAACTAAAGCTTCACACATGAGAATGATGAGTTCTAACACTTTTTGGAAAGCTAAGAAAATGAGGAACAACTCTCATGTTTGTTTAAAAATTAGGAAGAGCTTGGTTCCATGGTGAAATTTGCCTTGGAAGTGAACTATGTTTGAGTGCCTCTAAAATCTCTTCATCTTGTGACACTAACTTTTAGACATCATAACTTGATATGTATAAACCCAATGGAATAGTTCTTGTACTCAAAAGAAATCTTGAATGATGAAGAAAAAAATCTCATGTTTGTTGAAAAATGAGATGGGACTTGCATCATAATGAGAATTGTCATTGAAGTCATATGCCAAAAGAGGGGATTTTACACTGAGGATCATCTGAAACCCTAATTTAGAAACTTCTTGAACTCTTGAATCTCCTTGACCTAGCCTTATCATGACATTTGAGATGATTTAGGATGACTTCTCATGGCTTCAAAGATCAAGAATCAAGCCTTGAGCTCTCTCAAATCCACAATTGATTTTTGTTGACTAGACAAAACCCTAACATTTTATCCACTGACTGAGGTTCTTGCAGATGATTTGTGTGATCATGAGACCTCCATAAAGAACCCTCAGGGTGTATATTAAGCTTTTGAATCATGTATCATCTAAGGAGATGACCTCATGTGCCTCTAATCATCCTCAAGATAGGAGGTGATACCCACACATATACTTTCACTCCTCAAGAAGCTTTGGGACCAATTCTGATGGCCATGAAGACTTGGTGATTTGAAAATGTACCCTTGCTTGAGCTTGAACATGAAAATTCTCTCTTGAGTAGAAAATACAACACCTTGGTCCCTTTTCTAGAACCAATGCTATGTACAAATGCAAATGCAAAATGCTATGAAACATAAGCCAAGATAGAAGAAAAGTTTGGCAAATTTTAGGGTGCAACAGGATGTAGAGGTCAAAAAGTATCAAGGTATGATCATATCTCTCATCTATCTTATTGACTCTAGACCCGACATAATGTTTAGTGTATGTATGTGCGCTAGGTATCAATCCTCTCCTAAGAATCCCATCTAAAATCAGTTAAGTGCATACTTAGATACCTTTCGGGTACTCCAAAGTATGGGCTATGGTATTCTAAGGGAAACGATTGTTCCTTGTTTGGCTTCTCCGATTCTGATTTTGCAGGGTGCAAATCAGATAGGAAAAGTACGAGTGGCACGTGTCATTTATTTTCAAACTCTTTGGTAAGTTGGCATAGCAAAAAGCAGGTCTCTGTGGCTTTGTAAACCGCCGAAGCGGAATACGTCGCAACCGGCAGTTGTTGCGCTCAAGTCTTATGTCTCAAGCAACAATTGCTCGACTTTAACCTCAAACTTGAGCGTATTCGAATCTTTTGTGATAACACGGGTGCCATCAATTTAACCAAGAATCTTGTGCTACATTCACGCACCAAACATATCAAAATTCGACACCACTTCCTTAGGGATCATGTGGAGAAAGGCGATGTGGTTTTTGATATCTCTAAGTTCAAACAGTTGTTTATAACTCCTTAAGGAACCAGTTGAGTCAGAATTCTTAAGAAGAGACAATTATGTTAGAACAAGATTTGGTTCTGCCAGATATCTCTAAGTTCTGATAATAACAAAGTAGTATTTGTGTGAGAACAATTTTGGTACTCTAACGTTTATTTTTCTGAAGATTTAACAAACAGGTTCTGACTCTGATAGAGACCATGTGTATTGTCACTCTGATCTGACCAAAGTCGTTTTTGCACTATAAGAAGAAAGTATTCTTCTGATCTACTCTCACTCAGAAAGATTCTAAGAAGACAATATGTTGTTGCTATAATGTTCTCTTGGTTTCTGCCTCTGATCATGACTCTGATACTTTACTTCTGAAGGCTTTCTAGCTTCTGAAATCATTATCTTCTGAAGATTAAGTGCTGAAGACTCTAAAGACAATGTGTAGACTTATTTTTGTCATATGAGCCTTATGGACCATGGTTCTACCATTGAAGACCTCTTTAGGTCAAAAGTCAAACTATAGTTGACTTTTCCAATCAGAAACCCTAATTTGGGTTCTTGGACTGCATTGTTCTTCTTTCTTGGGTGACAATCTCAAATTGGATTCATACTTGATCCAATGTGATATCTTTGATGGTATAGAGAATTTTTACATGGAGAATCAATCCAAAACCTTGATTGATCAAACCATAGAAACCCTGATTCTTGACTGTATGAAACCCTAATTCACCTGCATCTTGACAAAGATCAAACTTGAAAGAGGTTAAGGTTAGATAAACAATGTGGATGCTCCTAGAATGATGATGGAATCTAGGGATCAAAATTTGGGGTATAACACTTATGAGGTATCAGTGCACCCTATAAGAAACATGTCATATTGCACCATATGAAAGAAATCTTGTCTCAATATGATGTGCATTCACCTCTTCAATGATAAATTACTCGCAAATGTTTTAACATAACACATGAATAAAATTGTTTGATACCTCTCAATCTTTCATAGGCAACATATATCACCTCTACAAGTATGTGATTTGTAAATGAGATGTCCGACCTAACCATCTAAGTATACATTTATAACATGTTTTGGCCTTAAAAAAAACACAATCATTTTAAGGTCTCCTGACCCCGTTCCTTCAAGGATTGTGACAGGTAAAAAAATTTTAAAGATCTTGCTTGACGTATTTAACTTGCCCATGTGTGTCGGAAACATAATGACTCTCTGTCTTTCACATCAGGATCTCTCACATGTCCCATATTGTAGGATGTGAAGTCGAAATTGTTATAATATATGAACTTTGGGTTACATTACTTATGACGGCCTATAAAATTGTCTACACGTAAAACTTTTCAGCAGTAATTCTAGTAGGAGAATCACGTTCAAAAGACAACGTTAATATCCCGCTAGAGAGAATAATTCTAGATCATAGATAAGTTCAGAATTAGTATACGACAATCTTGACAATTACAAACAATAAATATCATTTCTCTCTAAAAATATATGAGATCATTACGCTACTATTCAATTAAAGATAAAACAATTGAAACTAGCTGGAACTATCATCTTAAGCATCTCCTATGTTGGATAACATTATAGATATTTATCTAAATTTATTATATTAAACATCTCCCCTCACAGGTCGGTCTCGTGACAAAGGGTTGTGAACCATTATAGATTTTTATTTTAACTTACTATTTTAATCATTTCGCTTGCGGACTTCATGTTTGGAGTTATCGAATATCATATTTTTACCATTAATTCGGTTTTTAACATTCAAGATCAATAGATCTAATATGCGAATTGAATATAGGTTTTTGGAGCCTTATGGATTTTTTTAATTTAAATTTATTAAGTATCTGTAAACTAAGGTGTTACACTTTCAATCCTATGACTGCTAATGGTTTTACATTAGCTTCTTTGTTTACATGATAGAATAGAATCACAATAAAGCTAAGATGGCAATGATACCCTCAGCACCATAATTCTTTTTCTTTGACAACATAACTCTTTTCTTCTTCTCTAACATCGCATTGGTTAAAATCAAGTGTCCATTTCTCAAATGAACAATTAGAAAAATCATAATATCCACCATGAATAGAAACCAATTCCCTCCTCACTCTATCTTCTATCCATGGATAACTTAGCAAGTTTAACAAAGATTGGTTAATAGACTCCTGCAACAAATTCAAACAAACTGTTATCACCTTTCCAAAATAACAACACTTCCTACATTTCAAAATGATGGTTACTTACCTTCTCACAGAATCTGCATTGTTGATCAAAGCTAAGATGAGATGTTGCAGCTTTGGTCTTCAACTTGGCAACTTTCCCATTGGCAACCCAATTGTGTACGAAGTTTCTGAAATATCAATGAACTCAAATGAGAACTATAGCCATTTTAATGTTGAAATATCTTGTGTAAGAAGTACCTTGGTTCGGTATCATGTTGCATATTCATCAGAGCTTCGATCCCGGCACAACTACTATGACCAATTACTAATATATTCTCAACCTAAAATTTTCAAAAACCATTTGAATAAGCACTTAAATAAGGTGTTTATTTATCCAAACAAAGCCTTAGCGTGTCCGTACCTGAAGAGTAGTTACTGCGAATTCGAGCGCAGCGTTACACTCAGATGGACCATTCTGTCTCCAACAGAAGAAAATAAATTAATATGAGAAAAAAAAATTGAAAAATAATCAGAAGTGTTAATGAAAATACCTTCATCATAGGAACAAGATTCGCAATGTTACGAATCATAAAGACTTCACCAGGTTGAAATCCTAATACATTAGAGGGACATACCCTTGAATCTGCACAAGCAATTACCATAAACTGTATTTGGACTTATTAGTTAAAAGAACATGGATTACTATAGCATAAAGATTTAAAGAAACTTTAGAAAAAATCACCTTTGGATATTGAGCTTTAGCAAGAGATTGAAAATGCTCTAATTCTTTTCTGTATAATAGAAAAAACTAGCTTAGAAGATGGAACAATTTTTTGCAAAAGTTGAAACAAAGAAAAATGTGTAACTTAACTCTTACATGTATTTTTGGTTCTTGAAATTGTAGAACCTTTGTTTCATCAAACCAAATAGATTCAAGTAGCCATCAATTTCAGACATATTCCCTACATCAACACCTTTATTTTCATAACCATGATCCTCTTGTGGTTTTTCCCTATGTCAAATGAGTGATATAGGAGCTATGTTATTTAGCTTAAAGCCAATAAGTGAATCTTAAAAAGACTATTTTTATTTTTATTTTTTAGAAAATCTCTCCTCTAAATTGACAAAAATATTTAAAAAATTGACAAAAGAAAAAAAAACATATTTCTACTACCTACCAACAATTTTGTATGCATGTGAATAGAATATCAGATCCAATGGATAATAAGTTGTTATGTATGTGCATCACGAATTTGTTATGCATGTGCATATAATATCAGTCACACGTTACCAATTAACAATTTGTTATGCATGTGCATATCATATCACTCATGGGTCGTCGATCGCTGTTCCATTTATTCGAGACATCAATTGCCGTTCCATTTATTCATAATTGATATTAGTCGTATACAATTCAAAATGCATTAACAAATCGGAGCAAAGAAAACATCTTTCCTCAATAAATTAGCATCACACAATGTGAATGCATGAAATGTTTAGCAAAATTAAAACACAGACTCAAACTTACTTGAATGAAGGCATTGATGTTGCATGGCAACCTTCAGTTTTTACCCAATTCATCTATAAATCCAGCAAAACAATATCAAAACTCAGAAACAAACACTGCAAATTAAAACAAAGGAAAACAAAATGATAAAAAAGGAGAAACTAACAAATCTTGGGTAAGGCGAGTTTGATCGAAGAACTGAAGTAATAATTCTTGACCCTGTAATAGATAGTGATTCACGAATTGGCCACACCATCTCTTGAGGAATGCAGATGAGAAATCAAACATAGAAGACACGACTCAATTATTACTATTATATAAATAAAATTATCCTATTATTGTATAACACGTAGACCACGTACTTATCCTATTTTGTGGGACTTTCTTTATCTTTTTCCTTAGTTAACATTGACTGTTATGTCTTATCTATAATATTGTTTTGACTTGAGTTATTTTCATCATTCGCTGCGCAATGCCACTTTGGCTTAGGTGTAAAACATACTCATGAGTTGGATAAAGTTTTATTTGGATTGTAATGCTAGATCAAACTGAAAATACAACAAATTTCATCCTTACTCTTGACAATTGAGTTGTACATATTCTCACAAATTAGAGAAAAATTCTTATATGAAAATACATGGTTTTACAACAACTAATCACAATTATTTATTAATTAATTAAAAAACAAAAATAAATTTTTTTCTCTCCTACACTATCACAACTAGAGGGTCAAAAAACTCTATATATAAGCCCTCAATAATTAAGCCCCAAGGCTTTTTTTTTTAAATCTCTTACTAAAAATAAATTATCTTGAACAAAATTTCTACTAAAATTAAAAAAAATTAGTTCATTTTTTCTGAAAATACAAATAAAAACATATATTTTTTTGAAAATAAAAAAATTGATTTTTTTTTAAAATTAAAAAAAAATTCTGAAAAAAATTGATTTTTTTCCGAAAATAACAAAGCCAATTTTTTTTGAAAATAAAAAAAAAATTGATTTTTTCCAAAAATAAAAGAAAAGTCAATTTTTTCAAAACTAAAAAAATTTATTTTTTTTCCAAAAATATAAAAGTCTTTTGTTTTCAAAAATTAAAAATAGTCAATTTTTTTCGAAAATGACAAAAAGTAAATTTTCTTTCAAAAATAGAAAAGAAATCACCTTTTTTTTTCCAAAAATTAAAAAAAAAGTCAATTTTTTTCTAAAAATAAAAAAAAATTGTTTTTTTTTTAATTAAAAATAGTCAATTTTTTTCAAAAATAAAAAAGAAAACCAATTTTTATGAAAAAAAAGTCGATCTTTTACAAAATAAAAGTCAATTTTCATTTGAAAATGAAAAAATTCCATTTTTTTAAAAAAATGAAAAGTATTTTTTTAAAAAAAAAAAACAACTTTTTAAAATTATTTGGGCTTTGGAGGCTTTACTTGATGGAGTTTTAATTTAGAGGACTTACTTATTTTGAATTTTATTTATTTTTAAAATTTTGAGACTTCTATATTTTTAGGGCCTTAAAAATCAGCCCTGAATCCATTGATAGCTGGATGAATCTAATTAAAAAATATTAAATTTTAAATAAACTTAAAATATATTCTCTTATCATGAGATGTTTCTTACAATATAGATTTGGATTTGTTTTATGTAATTCTTTCTCTTAGAACGCTATTAAAGTTGTGTTTCCTGCACTTGGGCTTATCACAATGGTTTTCTCCCATCTTCGATTCAATTTATCTTTTATATATTTCATATATAGAAATTTTTCACATAATTTACAAGTTATGTACACGATATATTTTAAGTAGAATAACGCTACACATCATCATTTTTACATGTTAACATGATTTCATATCTATCGTGTAATTTTGGTAATTAGGATAATGTAAAACACACAACAATTTATATTTTTCATTTTAGGCTCAGTTTTTAAAGTAAACATTAAATTCATTTAAACCACATTCACTAGAGTTCGAAAATTGACTGTGCCCGACAAGATTAAGAATAGAGTTATTCTTGTTAGTCTTCCTAACGAAGACGTTTTGTTTTGGATGAGTTAAGTTCACTTTTACATCAAATGAAACATTACCATCAAGGGAGTTTTTTATCACCTTCAACAAACTTTCAATGTGAATTGCTATTGTAATTCAAAGAGTGATTGGCAATGATTAGAGCATTTCAAATGGTTGGATTGAAAAATAAAGTGGTGCTCTATACTTCCTTTTGTACAGAGAAGAAAATAAATAAATTGTCAGCAGAAATTCTCATTTCTCAATAACAAAGAACACTCAACCTTACTACTATCACGAGCCCGTTTACGGCCCAACAACAACGGGCCCATTCCAGAATCCACAAAAGCCCGATTCTCCATCACCGCCTTCAAACCCCTTTCCAACGCTTCAACTTCCTTCCCCTCTCTTCCATCATCACCCCACTCCACCACCACCACACTCTTACTCCTCCCCCCAACCGTCATTATCTCCGCCCGAACCGGGTTCGCTCGAACCGACCGGATCACTTGTGCCAGATCCCGGTTCAGTCCGGGCCGGTCCTCACAGCACACCGTCACTTTCATCCTCCGAGCTCCCCCTTCCTCCTCGCCGCAACAACCCACCGTTGCCTCGTCCGATTCTCCCGGAAACGGCCATGCCTCAGCTTCCTCCCCAGAAACAACCGAACCCGGCTCTCCACTACACGAAGACGACGGTTCATCATTCCAACGATTCGCTACCACATCAGCTTCCTTCCGTAACCGTTTCACGTGCTGCACCACTTCCGCTAGCAACGACGCCTTATCTGACTGTACACAAAAAAATCCCAAATTTACCGATTTGCCCCCGGATAAAAAAAAATAGAAAATGGTTGAATAAATTTCATGCAAAAACTAGTGCAATAGTTTTCTTAAAAACTTATTTATTTATTTATAGTGAAGATAATGAAATATTACAATGACCTTGGCGGTATTGGGGAGGAGAGACCGAAGTGTGGAGAGATGGTTGTTGATTCTTTGTCTGCGTCTTCTTTCAGCTTCCCTGTGACTCTTGCATGCTTCTGTTGATTTTCTCTCCACCTTTGGTTTCTCGCCGTTGATTTTATCTGAGTCTTTATCTATCAAGCTCTCAAACCCGTAGAATCTCCGCATTTTTTCTTCTATGTTCTTGAAAAATGAAGTATGTTTTTAAATTGTAAATAATGTTTACAAATATTTTAGTGTCCGTTGTTGAAGTACGGTAGGATCAATGATGAATGATTCTAGTACCATGGGTTATTTTTAGTGACGAAAAATGAATAAAATAAGATGAAGGAGATGAAGAGAAGAAAGAGATGTACGTACTAGGTGGAAGAAGGAAGAGTAGGAAAGTAGGGAAGTTAAATGCTTATGAGAGACTATCTATATAGCTAGGGAATATGTTTAGGATATGTTATCCTTGTAGTACATATGTGTCTACCAAGAGGGACAAAAGAGACAGTTACTCATGCCTACTTTATTTTTTTTGAGACAAATTACTTCAAAAGTTTTATCTATGTTTAGTTTTTGGGATCAAGATGTGTAGCTTTATCTAAAACTTTGTTAGTCTTTTGGAAATCATTTGACTGTAAGATGGATTGATGGTGTTTTTTTTAATCAAGATGTGTTTCTTTTAACATTAATTTGATAACTTTTAGCATATAGGTTGACCATGATAAGGATAACCAAATTTTTTTTAAAGTAACAATGTTATATAATTTAATTATCAAATATAACAAGCTTTTAAAAAAATTACCAAAATAACAAACTTTGAAACTCATCCAGCGAGCAGCATTCGCCAAATGGAATGGCGAATTATGCCATTGGGAATTGGTCAATGTGTTTTCGCCACATAAATTGAGGACTGATGGTGGTGGAGAATATGTGTCAAAAGACTTTAACATATTATGTGAGAAAGAAGGGATTGTGCGTGATGTGGTGTCACTTTATACTCTACAATATAATGGAACTGCAGAAAGGAGGAATATAGCCATCATGAATATGGTGAGAAGTATGTTGAAAGACAAACATTTACCCAAAGAACTATGGGGAGAAGTTGTGTCGACTACAACATGTATTTTAAACAGATGTACGACAAAAATGCTAAAAGGAATTATACAAGAAGAATGTTGGCTTAGTGTCAAGCCTATCTTGATTCATCTGAAGGTATTTGGATCTATAGCACATAGAAATGGGCCAGATCAGTTGATAACAAAACTAGATGACTAGTCGAGTCAAATGTTTCTTATAGGATATCATTCGACTAGAGGATATAAATTGTTCGACCCAGTGAATAATAAAGTAGTGATCGACAGAGACATGATCATATATGAGTTTAAAGAATGGGATTGGACTGAAAATGTAAAGAAGGATTTGGTGAGAATATTTTGTGAAGAACCAACAAGTGAAGTTAAAAGAGAAGTTCAACAAGAAGAAGTCAGAGGGTAATTAAATACAAGCAGACCTCAAAGAACAAGACACATGCCTTTAAGTTGGCAAGAATGTGTGATTACATCAGATGATATGGTCGATGATGAAGGTGAGCTGGTACACTATGATTTCTATGCAGATGTTGAACCAATCAATAAAACTAAGGCATTAAAGGATTCAAAGTGGGTGAGAGCAATGAATGAGGAACTGAAGTCCATCGAATTCAACAACACTTGATCACTTGTCGAATTGCCTTAAGACAAGAAGGCAATCAATGTGAAGTGGGTATACATGGTGAAGTCGAATCGCAAAGGAGAAGTAACTTGACACAAGGAAAGACTTGTGGCAAAAGGATTTCTTCAGAAAGAAGGAATTGACTTTGACGAAGTTTTTGCACTTGTTTCTAGGATCAAAATAATCAAGTCAGATGGATGTGAAATGTGCATTCATGAATGGCCCCTTATATGAAGAAGTTTATGTTTCACAACCATTTGGGTTCATGAAATATGGCAAAGAAAACAAGGTATACAGGCTGCATAAAGCCCTGTATGGACTTAAGCAAGCTCCAAGAGCTTGGAATAAGAACATAGATAGCTTTATAAGGAAGAAGAAATTTGTGAAGTGCACAACTGGGCATGAAGTATATGTAAGAATAAGAAATAGTGAATTGTTTATACCATGTCTCTATGTCGATGACCTGTTGATAACAACAAGTTTCATGAAGGAGATTGAAGACTTCATACATGACTTAAGTGAGGATTTTAAAATGTCAGACTTGGGAAATCTCTCATACTTCCTTGGCATCGAGTTCTACAAGAGCAGTAGA